AAGAATACCGCACATCTAGCAAACACTCGAGCATTCACGAACCTTCGAGAATATTATGACGTGTTACTAGCGTCACGTGACTTCCGCTGTCGTAACAATATATATATATATATTGTTTTTCTTTTGCACAATTTTACAGTAAAAGTATGAAATCTAACATTAACAAAAGACGTTAGAAACAGACTGTTATCACAGTCTGTGTTATTATATTTTGAAAATGGATATAAACGTGTTGCTTTACATGTTGATGAAACATACTGGTATTTTAACACTTTCATGTTATCGTTTTGAGATTAAGGTAAAAATGTAGAAGCAAAAATCCACGTAAGGTTTTGAAATAAGCTTTTTGGCGTGTTAAAACTCGAGACTAAAAATGGTTTTGATTTCGGTACAAAGCGATAAATGAAAATATTGTAAAGTGTGAACTGAGGCAGAAATTATTTTATGTTCTTATGTATGTGACAGTGTAAAAAGTTACTTTATGTTTTTAATTGATCAGAGAAAAATAATAATAAGACGCTGTTAAAGTGACGCGTTATTTGCATCGTCTGTGTTATCTACTAAGTTATCGGATTGAATAGTTTTGTTTTTTTACATAATCGAAGACAAAATGTTATTTCGAATAAAACTGCTGATTTTTGTAAAATAAAAAAAAGTAGGCGAAATATTAAAAATATAGTTTACTTTTTTTCTGTTATATATTTAATGTTTCTCAAAATAAAAACCAAACATTATTTTCTTATCAAACATAAAATAATTCACATTGCTACTTTGGGGCTCAGAAGGTTAGAGAGTTGTTTTTCAGTTGTTTATACGGAAAGTTTCAACTCGATTGATATTCATTTTTCCGTATTTTTTTTTTATTTGCCCGAGGCTATGCACAAGGTATATTTAACTGTTCGTGGTTCGTGTTTTCTTTTATTTCTGAGAGTAGTATACATTGCAAGTTTATAGCAATTTATGAATTATTTGATAAAATGTAGTCGTTTTAATCCGCTAATAGAAATGCGGAATATTTGCGAGTTACACTAGAGTGTACAAGTTTAACGAGTACGTTTTTATACAGTAAAAGTGATCTTTAAAGTGTAAACAGATACAAGTATTGAATGTTTCCGGATACTCGTATGTATAATGCAAACACAGTTTACATTATACATATTCAACAGTTAATATGTGCACAGAATTATACACCTTGATTTTTCAAATACATAACATTGACATAAACTGTTGGTTGATTTACCCCTCTCTTTCCTGTCAGTCCTGTGGGTTCCCCGGTGGGACAGCTGTAATTTTATAGACTTACAACGCTAAAATACGGGGTTTGATTCTCTTCTGTGGACACAGCAGATAGCCCAATGTGGCTTTGTTCTAAAACAAAACAACAGTTCTGCGGATATGGCTTTTGTTCATCACAGTAATATATACATTGAAAATATGTGTCATGTAAACAGCATTTTCGATTATGTGTATTGTGTTTAAACTTCCTGCCAACGTTAACCAGAATAACTAAATGTACGTGCTACTGTACTTTTCGCTCGAGATCCCATGACTAAGTTGTTTTGAAGTGGGAATCTGTTTTTTCTACGGAAGGATTTCGACAAGTAGTAGTTCGTTAATAACTGAAGCTTTTCTGGTTGTCAGAGTGCGTTCGCTTTAGAAAATAGGAACTGCTGAATTATGTAGATAACATAGATTAAAGTTTCAACTTGAAATATTTCAGATGTTGACATGTTATTTTGTCATTATTAGGTCCGTACGCAGAATGTTTTGAAAGGGGAGTTCTATTTGTCAAATCAAAATCAAAACATATTATGTGAATCACAATCAGTGTGCAAGCCATGTTAATGCCACGGGGGTCTGGGGGCATGCCCCCCCCGGAAAATTTGTAAAAAAAAATAGGTGTTATGAGATTAAATCTGGAAGCAATTTTGCATGAAATATAGCTTAAACAATTGCATGGCTGGTCACCTACAATCCACAAACTGTGTAGACTTTGTAGAAAACGTTAAATATCATAATTAGCTGCACTACACCTTTATAAGCATCATTTTTTTTTTACTCACAAAAATGAGGAAATTGGCTGAACCCCCTTGAACCACTCCTGCTTACGTGCATGAGTATGGTGTTCTTGCAGTTTAAAATTTATTTTTGGGTTTTTATTATTGTTTATTCAACAGTAAAGAAGCTAGAAAAATAATGTTTATTTTTAACTCAATTTAATATTGTGTAATAATGAATTACATACATGTTATATATGAAATACAAGTATTATATTCTCTATATTTCATGTGTGTTAATAATATGGTTTATAATTATCAGTCAACTAATGGCATTTCCATTTCAATTTGACTAAGTACTTATGTAAACTCCAATAAATTCTGTACATGTACCAGGAGTATTCTTGTAAGGTAGTTTCAGATACTATGTTGTCTGTCATTAAACTCGAATATTGTATAGCAGAGTGAAAAGCTAGGAGAGAGAAATTATATACTAATGTTATGAAAACAAAAATAAGAAAATTTATATCATTTGGTCTCTCACATTATTATGTTTATGATACTTAAAATAAAGGGCATATAACTTGATTTAACTATTAATTATTATTAAAATATAGAATTTAATTACTTTCAGATGAAACTATGGAAGAGAATGGAAGTAACTTGACAGTAAAAGAAGTAGGAGATTTGCTCTACACCAAGTATGCTATTATTACTGGTAGGTTATAAACACAATACCACATATGTTGTACAATAAAGGTATTCAGTGCTAAAATGTTAACCACTGTTTTAAATTTTATACAAGTAGTTACCATATAGAACCAAAAAATTTGCAATATTTCCAGAACAAATTCCAGTGAAATTTATGCCTATTTATAAAAACAGCCGCACCATTATTTCATGGTTAAATTGTAAATGCATTTGGGTATTACATGTTCATATATATATATATATATATATATATATAT